TTCCCATATCTTGTACACCAGGGATGTGCTTTCATGGTGGTAAGGTTTTGCAGAATGCAACAGATCTTGGTGAACCATGCAACCTGCTCTGGATACTGATGAACTATTTGAACAGTCCCATTCTTGCCATTATCAGGAAATCCAAACCATAAGAAGAATCTTAACTTCCAAATGAACGGTAAAATACTTTAGGTTGAGATAAAAGCTCTAATGCTGTGTGGCATCCTTTCAGAAAAGGTGAGGGCAAGACTACCTTTTGTTTAGTCAAGAAGCAGCCATTTTCTCATTCCAGTTCCAGGTTTAGTTGCAATTTGTGTTGCCCATACAAGAATTAAATACTCATGACAGAGCTCTGTTCTGTAAAATAGATCTCTTATTATTGCCGTATGCAGTATCCTGCATGAACACACCAAAAAGACTTGAGGCATGCCAAGAATGTATAGGTTTTCCTCAACAAGCCAGAGATTGTTGAAATTTATCCTGAGCCACTCAGCAATGTAAAACTCAACCTGACCATGCCTGTGACTTGTCGGGCAAGAATGTATAAATTTGACTTGCATTCTTGCCAGCACACTGAAAATTGTAGCCTTGTAAGCAACTAACCAAAAAACTCTGATAAGTGTTTGCTGAGAGTACCAAAGATTAAAATGCTAAGAGTGTTTTGACTTTAGATTCTGACAAAATACCTTGAATTCTCACAAGGAATTTGGAAATTTGGGCCTGGATTTTCTCATGGGCTTGGGGAACAAGTGTGGAGTTCCTGAGCTCACATTGGCTGGCGGTGAAACCAACCACATGACTGGAAGGCAGCTTTCTCATTATTAGTCTCAGTACTCACCGCCTATTCAGTATGACAGGTGAGCTGTCAATTTTGCAAACTTGATCTGAAGACTGGTAGCCCTAGGGCTTCTACAGTCACACCAGGGAGAGGCAGTCACTGCTGGGGCAGTTCAGAAATCACAAGGCTACCTCAACATGGAGACACCCTCAAAGGCATGGATCGAAAGCAAACTGATGAACACCAAACCAGAGAGAGAGCGGAAATCCCTCGGGGGAATTATTTCACTCACAGGTTTGCCTATCCTGCCCTGGGCCCTGCCCCAGGCGCAAGGAGATTCTGGCTTTGCTATAGCCTCAGCCTGTTGCAGCAACATATCCCTCACTGAACTGGCAACTTCCACACACAGCATTGGGCTGGCCTAAAGATGGCAAAATTGCCCCTAAATAAGGCTTAACCAAATTAATTGGGTGCCCATATCCATAGATTAAGTTCTTTTTGTAGGTAAGTTCACTACAGAATGTCTGTATTAGGGAGCCATTCCATGTCGACTTCCACATCCAGTCCCCCTCCCCAACATTTAATATGCTGACCCCATCATCTCCAATCTCAACGCCAATGGACTGGAAAATTCTCACCTTGATATTTGAAAACTGATCAATCATAACTGTATAGTAATAATGAGAGATTGCAGAAACAATTTACTGGACCGCTAAGAAGGATAAGGGACCTCAGTTATGTGGAGAGTCTAAAGACCAGGGGACATTCTTCTTTCAAGAAGAGAATGTTAGGGGAAGATTTGGTAAAGATGTCCAAATAATGAATGGTTTTAAATGAGGAGAAACATTTCCCACTTGCTGAAGGAGCAGTAGCCAGAGGTTTCTGATGTTAAGTGATTAATAAAAGAACCTGTGATCATACAAGGAAATATTTCTTAGATAGTGGGTTGTGTTCTAGAATGTACAATCTGAAAAGCTGGTTGAAGCAAATTCAACAGTGAGAGTTGAAAGAGAATAGACAAATGCTTCAAAGGAAAAATAAATGCAAGAGCTCTTGGGAAAGAATAAGGAAATGGGATTGATTGGAAAACCATCCCAAAAAGTTGACTCAGGCACAACAGGTTAGTCTCCTGTATCACATTATATTCTATGATTGTTTGATGTTTTTCAGAAAATCGTGTGTTTCCACTACATTCTGAACTCATTGCCCACAGTTTTAATGTTAACCTATTTCTTTTACATTATTCTTTTTTTATCCCAATATTTTCTCATTTACTGTTATATTATCTGCATTTCCAACCAACTGCTAGACATATTTAGGTCACATCAAGCTTCGGGTAGCATGTTATTTTTCTTATAGCCTTTCAAAACTGCTACAATCTAACAAACAAACATCAAGCACCTGGTTTTGATTATTCCCACGTCAAGATTTTGAAATTGTGCTCTGTTGGATGGCTAATCCTGAGCAACAATAAAAAGTTGGGCAACAACACAAAGTGTTTCTGAAAATGTTGACATGGCAATAAGACAGTGGATTCCAGAATGCTAGATATGGATACAGGAAGATTTACAGAGACAGTGGGGAGGATGTGGGAGAAAATACAAGGCAAACCAGAATTGGAAACAGTGAGAGTACATGGTGAACTGAATAAAATTGCTTAGGTAGGGGGATAGGGTAGCAAAGTTCTCATGAATTTGCGAGCTGTCTGAGGGAGAATGCAAGTGGCTGATAAGGACAGCACTGGAGATCTTCAGTTTAAATGTGGTGAAGCCATGAAGGGAATTGGAAAATATGTCAATGAATTAATGTCAATGGACTAGCTAATTGGGAGTTAATGTTTTCATGAGAACAGGGTTAATAGAGGTTTGAGAAGAGTGCAAATGGTACAAGAGTAGCAGGAAATTTGGAATTTGAAATTTTTGTTCTGAAGGGTTAAAGAAACCGATGAAAAGATCTTTATAAAAACCAATTTACAAGGTAGAAGAGGCGCAGATGAAGGTTTCAGTGATGACGGTCAAATAGGAATATAAACAGGTAATGTTATGGTGGGAGAAGAATGTAGGAATGGGGATAGACTCGATATCAGGGTAACTGTTGCCTCAATTCTGAAAAAACACAGGGATTGCACCATCAGGTTCAGTTTGATCAAGTAAATGAAAATGGGGATGGAACATCAGCTTAATTTTCTTCCTTCTAAAATGTAAATTTGACCCATCAACAACACTGTTTTGGAGTCTTTTAAAATGATTCATATAATTATCTCTTAAATGAACACTGTTCCTTTACAAAATTTTGCTTTGAATCTGTTAGTCATCATATCTATGTATCTGTAATCCTATGAAGAATAATATAAGTATGGCTTAATGGAAAATTCAGTCATAAAGTTGTGTATAAATACCTGCTTAGGAGATCAACTACCATGCCCTAAATCACAGCAAACACTGCAAAGCAAAAATATTTGATAGTGGGGATTGTGATGAATATGAACCTGCCACAGTGCAGATCACACATCTATTTTACAATAAAAACACATGATACAATTTTGAAATGTGCAAGTCATTTTAAATTTCAGCTATTGCAAATGAAGAGTGTTAGTGTTGGCATGAGAACAGGTTGATTCATTTGCCAAAGTATGGCAAAGTATGTAACTTTTAGCAAAAGCTCCTCCTACGTATTCATGTGGAAGTTTTTAAACTGCCTCAGTTTATGCATTAAAGTTGTTATGATATGTATATATTCCTATAAAAAGGAAATTTCTGTAATGTTCAAAAGGGGTCTTCCAATAGCCAACAAAAATAAATCAGAATAGAGCTTGCCTTTTAATCCAAAGATTTCAAATGTTATGCATAGCTATTTCACTGCCTTTTATCTTTCTGGTTTCTCAATTTTCTAAGATTTGTAATTCCTAGTAAAGTTAAGAGGATTATATTGATGCTATTTGAAACCTTTAACACCATAATAAAAATAGATTTCTATCACAGATTATTTCAAGAGAAAAGAATTACTTCTCCCTTAACCGTGTGTCTGTGTGAAGTCGTGTTTCTTGCTAAAATCATTCAATTTACGTGAAACTTAAGACTAAAGTTACTCTTGCACTTTGATTCGTACTCTTGAGTTTCATAATAAAGATAAAGCTGATGATCGGTATTGATTCAAAGACATCAAAGTAAAAGAAGTGCACTGCAATCAAAATCTGCATTGATAAATACAAAAAAAACTGTAGTGTTCAAATATCTTTGTACTGAATGCCTTTTCAAGAGTTTATTCATCAGCTTCTGCCTGTTTGAGTAAAAGGCCCACAGATGTTGACATTATTTTCAATGGTTTAAGATGGTTCCTATTGGCTTTTATTAACATTTGTTACTTCTTTATTATCCAAGAGTTTTTTTCATCATTTTGAAAGCCGTGCTTTTTGCAGCTCTGAAGAGAGCAGCAGGTAGCTTTGGCAGCCAGGGTCAGTGTGCTGACCAACTTTAAGTTCCATTGTGCAGCATGCTCACAGTGCATTCGCTGCAGATGTGAAAGGTCAGCTTCCAGCAGTGATTCCATACCTGGGCTTTTGTGTTGCCTGCCAGGAGATTCTCACGAAAAAATAATTTAACGGAAAGCAATCTGCAAAAATATCCGCTCTCTGCTGTGTCATCGAACGCCAAAGTATTGTACTAAAATCTACAATCTTCTAGCTACAAAAATAATCTTTGGTTCTGCTCTGTTTTTTTTAAAGAAATTCAGAGCCTGAAACTAAACAGAGAATCAGTATGTGAAAAGTAACTTGCATCATTTTTCAAATATTAATAGAAATTTCACTACAAAATACGGTTCTTTAAGAGTCCTGGTTTTCAACAATATATCTGATCATTCACTTGATAAAGATAGATCCAGACGTGGAGGTTTACTAACAAACATTAGTTACTAGCAAACAAAGAAACAAACATAAAAAATTTATAATTTTCTGAATTCTTGGACACTATCTGTGCCATTGTTTTGCAATAGGATTGAATATTTGTTGACCTTGGAATTGGGAGTTATGGATACACATTAACATTAATAGAAATTATAGTTCTTTTTCCTGCTCAGTAATGCCACACAGCTTTAAAAAGAAAGATCAGTAACTCATAAGAATTTACTTTCTACAATTGATTGTGTGTATAAGTGGGAATTGAAAGAAAGATATAATTCTGAAAATCTACAAGTGCTCATTAATGACATGCAGTGCATTTACCTTCCTTGATGATACTTGATACCGAAGTTTATTCTCAACTAAGTTTGGCATTGCTGCAAAAGTGAATAAACAGATAATGTAAATAGCTGTCAGTACTGAGGCTCCATTTCTAATTAGATTTCAGTTGTTTTAAATTGGCACTTCTCATTTAATTTCAATAGGACATGCCATTTTATGACAGCTTAACCCTGAATGGAATTGAGCCTCTGGTCTTCAGAAGCTTTGAAAAAGACCCCAGGGTGGAAAGTTGTAATTAGCTGTTTCTGCAGTGCTAGTATTAAAATGTGAAGCCTTGTAGGAAATCCTTTGTGTTAGAGAAATGCCCTTTATTCTTTCTTGTGGTTTTTGCGCACTGCAATGCTTTTAGTTTGTGTCCAAAAAGACATTATTGCCACTCATGGGGCCCTGATGTAATCAATGTTTAAAGAAAGAATGTCAATGCTTCACATTTAGGAGAGAAAAACACTTACATGAACATTTCACTTATCAGTGCATAAAATCAGAGAAACAACAAAAGAATTTCATGTTATTTTTAATTCAAGTCCTCTAAGCTTAGCACCTCATTCATGGGATACAACTGCAAAGAGCAAGGTTTTGTAACCAAATAGTTGTAGTGTGCCTTAATCTGAATTGTATATCTGATTGTGAATAGGAACAGCTCCCTCAATGTGGCTCTGGCCTAATCAGGAGTTGCTGACTGATTGCAACGAACAGCATGACACTCACAAGAAGTGAACTCTCAGCGTGAGGGAGAGGAGAGGTTGTACGGAGGTTACAGGTACTTTTCATACTGCCAGGCAGGAAAGCTCCAACATCCTGCTGCTAGAAATTTGTCTGCGCTGCAGCCATCAAATTTTTCTCAAAGGCCAGACACTGAAGTCTGTGACTGAGGGAGATTTGTTGATATGATAACTTGATTAGTCCTGGACAGATGACACAGCAGCAAAGAACCAGCTCAAAGGAATCTGTGCTCTTAGCCCTTAACCTCTCCTCAGGAGATGACAAATTATATGTGGTAATTAGACTATTATTCTACAAGAGTCTTCAGAAAACTTCTAAGGAACATTGCCAAGAAATTACTAGTTTGTGTGTTCTCCATTAGATCAAAATCATATTAAACATGTCTTAACCCCTGCAAGAAGACGGAAAGATACACATCAGGCGCATTTAGCTATATTCAAATTATTGCTAAAAATCATGCTCATGATTCAACTACTATGTATTGACATTTAAAAAAAGAAATACCATTGTTTTGTGGAAAGTTAGAGTACGGAGTGTGCATAATGGTGACAGCACATTTTTAATAACTCAATTTGGTTTGATGGTACAATGAATTGCTTTTGGACACAATATATATCGTTTCCTGTCTTTACAAAACGATAGAGAGTTCTTATATTTCTAATTCCCAGAAGTCAGAAATATTTCTCGTTCCTAGGAATCTTACCACTATGTCATTTTGTACAAAATATGGAGGTAGTTAATCATTCTGACGATATTCATATTGTATTTGAACTTGTTTGTGTTATCTCTTAAGCTGCTAGTTGATACAAGTTTGATAAATGAGAAAGTTAAACTCACCAGAAAGAACCTACTGGCATAATTCAAAAAACAATGACTGTTGTTGGATTAGGATACAGTGTAACAGTTTCAGAATATAGCAATAAACGTATTATCCATCAGCTGTGTTAGTATTCTAATTGTAGTTTCTGCAAGCTACCTAATTAAGTGTTCAAACATTTAATGAAGATAATAAAAATATGTTTATAGTGCATTACAAGAAAATGTGGACAAATTTACATAAAGCATGCCTTATTTGCAACTTTCCTATTACAAGCCAAATAGAACAAATGAGGAAGTTGCTTGAAAACTTAAGAAGATGTAACCTACCAAGAGATCTGTTACTAACTAAGATTAATCTCAAAGTTAATGAACCATACTAAAAAAAAGAACATAAATTCATTTAGCTAAGAATTTTTCAAGAAAATTAAAAATGAATTAGAAGTAGGTTTAATTTGTGATGTGCACCAACGGTGCAGAAACTAGGATCTTTGAGATGATGTGCAGGTTTTTAAGAAGAACAGAAACAAGTGCGTTGAATAACTCTACGCATTACAGGATGATTGAAAGGAATATTAATACTTCAAGAATGCTACATGATAATTATATTTTAAGCTATGGTCTTATAAAATCATAGGCATTATACCCATCCGAACTTGTACAAAAACACCACTAGAATTGCTTACTTTGTGAAAAAGTTGCACAACTATCTTACCTCAAGAAATTTCCGTACCGAACTGCATCAACAATACAGCAATTAAATCAAAGATGTCTTTCTATATGAAGACATCTGCAGTATTGTAACATAACTGTGCAGAATGCTCTGAGAAGGCTGGTGCATGTTGTGTGCATGGATTTGACATCTGACACTTCTGAATACAACCTCGATAGCCTGAAGAGGGAGATACTTTAATTCAGTTGAATGCACAAATGGACAAGTCACAGTCCAGTGTAGCTTTTCAACTAATGCTCACATTTTCAATGACTTTAAATATATTTAACCTGAACAAAGCTCAACCCTCCCGACAACACTACAAATGCTGTTAAACCAACATAAATTGGGTGCAGCACAAAGGCGTTCTGCTCTGTCCAACGATACCTTCACTTTATTGTTGCTTTAAACTTTCCAAGGCCTCTATATAAAGAGAGGGGCTGCTAATGTTGCAAGTGGGAGTTTTAATGGTCTCTGTGGAACAATGTGAGCACATTCTATGCAAGCTCATTACCGAATCATCTGAAATGCATGAGGAATGTTCCCACTGATTATCATAAATAGCATAAAAAAGTCTTTCATTGCAAAAGCAGGTTCCATCTGCCCCTCATGTCCCCTCACCTTATCTTTAAATAGAAAGTCACTCCCCCATGACAAAGAACAAACGTTTTATACTTTGATCTGATTCATGTATAATCTATAAGTGAACACAAACATAATGCACAATGTAGAACACAACACATATCAAGGAGAGTGTTACAAGGCTATTTTGTAGTCAAGAAAATGGTATGACATAATCTAAGGCAGTTTTTGAAAAATTTCATCCGAACTTTAAGCACACTTTCATGTCAGTCTTTGTATATTACCTTGCACAACAATTCTCATATTTATTGTTTCTGATATTTCAGGTATTATCAGCATTTATATCTTCCACTACTCCCACAGAAAAAAGTCATTCTTAATATTGTTAATCTGAAACTTTGAGAGAAAAGTCAAAATTGTATACTTATTTTTTTCTCAGGGTGTGGTATTGTTAACAGGTTCAGATTCTATTCCTATCCCTAAATGTCCTTGAGCAGGTGTTCATGAGTTACCTTCTTGAACCACTGCAATTCATATGGTGGTTGACGCTATGCTTTTTGGGAAGAAATTCTGGAATTTTGACAAGCAAAAACAAAGGAACAGCAATAAAGTTTGCAGTTAGAGACAAGTGTGACTCAGAAGGCAATTTGCAGAGAGTGGTGCACTCGAGGACCAACTGCCTTTGTTATTCCAGGTAATGAAGGCCCATAAGTTTGGAAGATGCTGTTATAGAGCACTTGGAGTGTTGCTGCAGTGTCTTTTTAGATGGTACCCACTGTAGACATGGTGAGCTGGTGGTGAATAAAGTGAACGTTTAAGGCAATGGATGGGATGCTAATCATTCAGGCTGCTTTATCCTGAATGGCTTTGGCCTTCTTGAGTGCTTTTAGAGCTGCATTCATCTAGACAAATAAAATATCCCATCACAATCCTGACTTGTGCCTTGTATCTATTGAAAAGTCTTTAGGAAGTCAAAAGGTGAGTTACTTGCTGAACAAAACAAAGCCTCTAGCCTATTCTTGGAGCCATTGCGTTTAGGTGGTTTAAGTTTCTGGTCAATGGTGTCTCAAGGATGTTGATGGTGAGGGATTCTGCACTGATAATTCCTTCGAATGTTATGGGAGTTCTCTCTTGTTGAAGATAGTCATTGTCTAGTACTTGTGTGGCACTTATGTAATTTGCCCAATACCAGCCCAAATCTGAATGTAGCCCAGGGCATGGAATCCTTCATTATTTGAGGAGTTGTAAATGGAATTGAACACTGTGAAATCATCAGTGAACATACCCATTTATGATCTTATGATGAAGAAAGGAACCTGATGAAGGAGTTGAAAACAGTTAAGCTCAGGACATTACACTGAGGAACTCCTTCAATGATGTTCTGCAATTGACCTTCAACAACCACAGCTATGTGTTGCTGAAGTCCAAATAATGGAGGGCTTTTCCTCCTGATTCTAATTATCTGCAATTTCACCAAGGTATCTTGATAACATAATTGGTCAAATGTTGCCTTGATGACAGTGGTCAGTCTCACCTCTCCACTGGAAATGAAATCTTTTGTTCAAACAATGATTATGAGAGGCCCAGAGCTGAGTGATTCTAGTAGAAGCCAAGTTCAGCAAAATGAACAGGTCCTTGCTTAATGATTGCCCTTCATAATAAAATCAACCACATTGCTGCTGATTGAATGTGAACTGATATGGCAGTAACTGACAGGACTAGATTTGTCATACTTGGGAAATTTCCCACTCTGCCAGGCAGATACCTGATTGGACAGCTTGGCTGAGAAATGAAAGAGTCTGGAGCACAATAATGCAGTGCTACAACTAAGATGTTATCAGATCCATTGCATTTGCTCAATCTATCACCTTTAGTTGTTTCTTGATATCTCATGTAGTGAATCAAATTATCTGACTGGCTTATATTATGGTAGGAAAGAGGCTGAGATGGATTATCCACTTGGCACTTCTTGCTGAAGATATCTGCAAATGCTTCAGCCTTGTCTTGCACACTGATGTAAAAGCTCTGTCATCATTCGGATGGGATATCTTAGGAGGCATCTCCTTTGATTACTTGAACAGAAGGTGATGCTGCCAGATTCTTAAGGAGTAATGCTGGATGGTGTGAATTGGACAGAATGGATTGGCAATGTAATCCAGCAGCAGGCATACTAACCATAAAGGGAGTGCGGGAGAGGGGGGATT